GGTATCAAAAACAACCCCCGTTTGATGAAAGTTTTGAGGTAGGCTTATATGTGATTGTTTAGAGCCTCGGCTCTATAAAAACTTTTCCCTTTTTTTATTATAATTATTATTTTTAATTTTTAAAATTTATTTATTTTTCATATTCATGATCTCGAGTTAGAAATTAAGCCCAAAAATCCATCTCAAAAATAGATTTTTAAGAGGTGATGCATTGACTCATAAAAATAAAAATAAAAAATAAATTTATGAAGAAAACATTTGGACTCTTGGTTTCAATAGTAGTTAGATGAAAAGATGGATGATTATACCGCACATGCGGTCCAAGGCCTGCATGAAACAATTTTTCTTAAAAATTATACTTTTATGAGTCAGATTGGCAACCGCTTAAGTCAAACGGAAGTGACTGAGGTGCCAATGTACGGTCGATATGATTCCAACAAACACACATCTCTGGGTGTTGCACTCTGCCCTATTCGTCTGTTTTAATGAAGAATGTACATGTGGATGAAAATAACCTTTAAATTATTACGAGGGTATTATGGGAAAAGAAAAGGTTTTTCTACTGTGCAAAAAGGAAGAGATCAGTCCATGCAAGGCTCAGAGGCATGGGGATGTCTTCTGGTCCCCTGATCACAAAAAAACAAAAGAGTAGGCACGTTACTCACTTCAGAAGTGCATGCTGCCCCTTCTTTTTTGACCAAATATCCCCACTCTCTCCATTTTTAATAATTTGACCTCACATGATTTCACAACCCCCAAATCAGTACACCCTAAAGTTCTAAAATATCAATTGCACCCTTATTTCATGCCGAATATATAAGCCATTTAAGTTTTGATGCAACGGTCGGATCATATTCAAAAGATTTTAAATAAGGTGGTTGTAAACGTACGTGTTATTGACTAAACTTAAAGATCGATTTTTTTTTTTTTTTTAACTTAACCGGACATCTCAAAGTTATTCAATCTGATATCTAATGACTGATAACAATTATTACCTCATTGTAACTAAGATAAATAGTTGCTTAGTAGCCGTTTTCGGCGTTAGCCCTTCCTTTTGTAAACAGCACTCTAAGAGGGAGAGGGTTGGGATGGTGGGGGTATAGTGTGCTCCATTTGACCATTTCCATGTTATCGACCTTTGGTTTCATCATCATCGTATTTAATCAATCGGGATTGTTGAAGTCCGATCATATTTAAAGATACTATAAGCCTTTGGACTATGGAAAATCCTTTGTCATTGGCTCGCCTTTGTCCAATCAAGTTGATGGTTGTGAGGATAGTGGGATCCTCTATTTGTGTCATGTGTCACTCCCAATTAAGAATGGCTAGGGTGAGAATTGACCCGTTCTGGATTCGAAACACGTATTTCAAACTATTTAGATCTAGATATGGATCCAAATTTTGGATTTGAACCCAAAAGTCAGGTTCGAATTGAAATTTGGATTGGATTCGAGTGCAGGCGGATTAGATCCGGATCCGATCTGGATCCAAATCTAAATCCAATCTGATTTTTTTAAATAATAAATTTACTTTATATATATAATTTTTTTTAAAATAATATATTTAAAGTAATTGAGATCCGGATCTGATGTATACTGTTCGGATTCGGATCTAAATATCCATGATCCGATTTGGATGTAGATCCGACCCGGATCCATTGTAGACTATTCAGATATCGATCTGGTCGGATTCGGCCCTAAGAATAGTTTGCTTGGCAATCTTGAGTGTCTCTTTGGCCTTTCTCGAGAAGGGAGTTGGTCTGGCGGGAACACGACATTTCAAATATGGTGTTATTAAAAATTCTACCTTAGGGCCGGTTTGGATGTCAAAGAAAAAAATATTCATACAAAAAAAAATGCATGTTTTTTCCACCTCAATTGAAAAACATTTTCGTCTTATTTTATTACGTTGGTAAACTGTTTGGATGTCTAATTTATTGATTTGTCAAAAAAAAGACCCTCTACCCCATCTTGGTTCCCATCTTCTTAACATCTTTGACACCGAGCTTCTGAAATCCTAATCTGAGAATGTTTTCTTCGAAGATTTCCCTTCTCGAGCTACTAAAAAGCATGGCAACACTCGTTCTGATAGCCGGAAGAGACCATCCTATTTGCAATTTCATGGAGCTTTGAGACCACTGGACCAAACATCATTGATAAAATTATAACCAGTCAAGCTCATATTGAGGCTTGCTCTCTCCCCCTCTCAAGCTCATTCTCAACCTCTCTCTCTCTAACCCATGGAAACCATCTCTCTCTAACCCATTCAGACAAGCTTTCTCTCTAACAGGGACACCATGATATAACCTATGGAAGCCACGTCTCTCTCTCAACTTGTGATATAACCTATTGAAGCCACGTCTCTCTCTCAACTTGTGGAGGTGACAATGGTGGCCATGACTGTTTCCATACGACAATGCCCTAGACGATGAAGAGCTATGGGCCGTCATCGACTAAGCAGTTGTTTCTCACTCCGCCTCTAAATTGAGCCAGAGCAAAACCCTGGCTCTGATAAGCAATCCCACAAATAACCATAATCTTACTCCCAAAACCCGCACTATACCTTCAATCCCATATCAATACCAAAACGCTTGAGGCCAAAGGCTCTAGGAAATCTAGATTCAACTACACATGGAAGAAGATCGGAGAGAAGGTGAGGTGCTGCAGGAGCAGTCAATTCCTCATCGACCTCACAAGATGATGAGATCTGATGCTTATGGAGGGTTTCAGAGCCCTGGGTCATTCAATGGAGGAACCCAAGCGATTTCACGGTGGCAAAGGCTATGTGATTTGCGTTTCTAGAGAGCTTAGGGATGAGAGAGAAAGGGTGGGCAAAAGGCTCGCTTTTTTAATGGGCGAGAGAATGCCGCACTTTCATCCAAAAAAATTCAAGTCCGACATGAATTCTTTTTTATCGTAAATTTTGTCGGAAAATTTTTTATTTTAATCTAAAAATATTGCAATTTTAGATGGTTGTCCAAAAGGGTCAAATCTATTTTATAAGATTTTTGGATTGCAATCCAAAAATATTACAATTTTGGTTACGTCCAAACTGGCCCTTAGTAATGGATTTTGTACCTAGAATTATTCAAGTCGATAATCTTAAACGTCATGATCGTAAATTGACAAAAACATAAAGAAAATAATTTTGAAATATAAAATTGACCATCATTATCGTTTATTTGAATTGTTCGCAAACCATCAAATCTATTCTATTGTTTGAGCTGCAAAATCATAGATCTAAAATATAAAGGGTGCAGTTTGCATACAGATGCATCCGTAGGTGTAGAGTTAAGGTGCACGTTCAAATTTTATCATGATATATAATTTTGATGTAAAATGTTCTATTTTTGTATCTAATTAAAAGATTTTAAATTTTTAAAATGGTTAAAATCAAGTAGTTCTATAAACATATGAAAATCTTGAAAATAGATGGTGTAGATAATATGTTGTAAAATGCACTATTTTTTAGACTTAAAATCTTTTTATTTTTCATTTTCATACATCTCGATGTCGAGATGATCAATTAAAGAGTTTTTCAACATTAAAACTACCTCTTCCGATGGATTTTTGAGGTGCATATGTAGTTCTACATTATAAGATTGCATCTTTATATAAACTTTTTCCAAATATAAATGCATTTAGAGTGACTTAGGATGTGTTCCGCATCCTAAATGCATATCTAAGTTGAGTTTTTGGAAGGGGAGAGCATTTGAATTGGATCTCATTCGAACTTTTCCTTCATAAAAGTGCAAATTTGAGGACAAATATACATCACTCTTGTTCGAGGTCGCTTATTTGAGTAGTTTCTTGAAATGACAAACTCCAATAGAAGGAAAATATAAGGACCCAATTCTGAAATGGTATCTATAGAGTTTGTATACATTGGATGGTGCATATCAAGGCAAACATACTTTTCCAAACTATAATAATATGTATGGTACTTACTGTCAAAAAAAAATAAAAATAAAAATAAAATAAAACATGTATGGTTCTCATGCACCGAGCACGAAAATGCCCCTTTCGTGCACCTTGGCATCACATTCCCATCAGGCGTTGAATCACCAAAGACGCACATAAACAGGACCCAAATCATACAATACTGGTCTGTCAAAAAACCAATGCCAGACAGAAAATGACCCAATAGGAAAATGTACCGGACCAGCACACAAAAGTGCATGCCGGTGGTCCGACATCTAGAATTGCTGGATTAGTAGCAAAACATTGCCGAACCGCTATTTAATTTGCCGGACCGAATGGAATACACAACAAACTGGATCACGTTACAAATTTACTAGCGACTTTTGGGGGTCTGATGGCGGGATTTGAGGCTAGTTTGGGGGAGAGAGAGAGCTTTGCTACGGTTGGGAAGAAACAGAGAGGGATGTGGACCTTACTAAAAGAGAAGTTACATCTTGGGGGTTGGAGTATTTAATACGACCCAATATGGAGGATAAGCATATGATCATGTGGTTATCACCATCAAATCGAAGGGATGGAAGAACTTGGAAGAACATGGCCACATAAAGATGAATTGACATGTTTGGTCGGACCCACTCCAGTGCCCAACCCATGACCATGATAAGCAGATAGTCAAAGGGATGTTAACATGAACATGCTCATGTTATTATGAACATGGAACATATTATAGAGGCCAAAAGAAAGAAATGGAAGTGCCACCTACCCTCTCACTCTCCATGAATTGGGACTGCTCAGTGTAGATGGATATTTTAGTAAAATAAAGGGGTTTTAGGGTGAGAAGGAAAAAAAATTCTAGTTGAAAAGAAGAAGAAATGTTGTTCTTCACATAAACGGGCTATTACAACGCATGTGCATAAGAGAGAGATCAAAAGATTTAGGTGGGATTGAAAGGATTAGCCTATAGTGTAAGGATGTCACAATTATTTACAATTATTAGATGTGAAATTTGATAGTTTGGATGTGTCACAAAGCTCGAATTTTTTTTTCTAAAACTTTAAGCTTGGTCAATAGAATAAATGCAACCACCCAATTTTATATCTAATGGTCAAGATTAATTATGGCTACCTTATACGAAAGGTAAATGATCTCATTGTATACATTTTTCTTTTTTTTTTCTTTGATGTTGTTTCACATAGTTCCAATGGCAGGGTCCCAAATTAACATCAAAAAATAAAAGAAGCAACCACATGGCAGAGTCTAATTTTTCTAATCTTCTCATAAGAGTAACATGTATGCATACACTTGTAACGTACAAACTTTTAACGCATATACAAAGCCTCAACGGATCTTACTATTCATTTACATACTCCTCAGTGAGTCCTTTGATCACCCACTAACCAACTAAATACACACATACTTTTACTATACTTCACTTCCAGTAAAACAAAGTCACAAAAGCCAGCTGCAAAAGACTACTGTAATCTCATATTGTAAACTACCTAACTCTTAGTACTAGAGCACACTTGTCACAACTTTTCTTTTTCTTCTCATGTGTTGGGGAGTTTTTTAATGATAATACTACAATTGGCCTGAAGAGTGAGCAAGGTAGGCTAGAGCTCCAACAAGTGGTGCATTGATGTAGGTGGCTGGCTCGGATTGCTCGTAATCGGACCGTAGATCGGGGAAACGATCATGAAGGTCGGGCCCCCCAACAACCGCACCGACTAGTTGGTTTGGGTTAGGACCCGAGCTTGATAGGGCTTGAACCCGGCTTGGCATGGGATGAATTGAGGGTGAACCTTAACTGAGGGGAGCGATGATCCACGGTGGTGTATCCTTTGAGGGAATCGTGGTCCATAGCCCACCATGTATGACATCTTCAAGGGGTTATCTCCCAAGAGGTAGTCCACCTGATTTCTTAAAGAAGGTTAATCACAAATTTGTAGTTGAAAAACAAAAATACAATAAAACCATTTGGTACAAGGAGGTCACAATTATTTACAACCAACCACTCGATATGAAATTTGATAAGCTTGGATGCGTCACACGGTACAAAAAAATTTCTTTAGAACTTTGAGCTCGGTCCATGAAATAAATGCAGTTACCCCCGGTTTCACATCCAATGGTCAAGATTAATTGCGATAGAATTAGTAAAAACCAAATAAAAAAAAAACATTTCATTGTATAAATCAAGAGGTCTAAGAATAAAAAATTTAGTCAATAATGGGGAAATCTAGACAAACATGCATGATAATGTGCACATAGCAGTAGAACAAAATCATTATAGGGCAAAATCGTCATATGTGAAAAATTTTGAGGCTAATGTCGTCATTTTCAGATGTGAAACCCCATAAAGTAGACGAGGACAGGGGTGGGGTATATAATCGTCTTTTTAGTACAAAGTTGTTTTCCCATGAAAAGATCTAGGGGTATAATAGTCATTTGAAAAAGACCGAGAGGCAAACGGTCGAATTGGGTCAAAACGGTTGAAACTTGAAAACATGAGTTTCTCGTTTCATGCCCTGTGTAGCTTCATGTTCGCATCCCCATCTTTACCAAATATAAATATATAAGACTGAGAATAAAAAAAGTAAAACAAAAAATAAAAATAAAAATAAATGGTTAGAGAGAGAGAGAGAGAGAGAGAGAGAGAGACCTGTCTCTTAGCAATGGCTCTGAGCCTCTTGGGGGTGACAGTTAACCGACCACAAGTGACAAGCTTAGCAGAAGAGGTCAAGTATTTGGCATAGGTTAAAAGGAGGAAGGAGGTGGAAGTAACATATTGCATATTACTATCACTCATTTTGTACAGAAGCCCACCTGCACCAACAAACAAAACCCACTTCTCCATTACCCGTTACATAACTGAAAACAGTTTGTTTTTTTAGAGAGAGAAACAGACCAGGGGTGTATTGTGTTTGAGATGAGACCCCTGGGATCACAGAGCATATGAAGTCATCAGCATGCCCCTTGAAATCATGGAGGGACTTCACATTCTGAACCAGAAATGCCTGTAAAGAGAATAGAATAGAATAGAAGCTTGGGTTAGAGAGAGAGAGAGAGAAACATGTTTGGGTAGAGAGAGAAAATTTTAGAGAGAGACCTTAGAGAGAAGGATCCTTGCTCCAGCATGCTTGTTGTCCCATCCAAATGTATTGTCTTCCTCAGTTGCACCAAGAGTTTGCCCATTCACTTGAATGTAGTTTAGGTATTTTGCATTCTTGGTTGCTCTGTGAAGCCATGCAGCTCCCCATAAGAGCTCATCCTGCACAACACAAACATCCCATAAACAAAATACATTCCTAGAGAGAGAGATTTACCTGATACCCAGAAAAGGAGCAGTAGGTGAGAGAGAGAGAGAGAGAGAGAGAGAGAGAGAGAGAGAGAGAGAGAGAGAGTAGTACGTACGTACGAACGAACGAAGGAACGACGAGTAAGGACGGACGACGACGACGACGTCGTACCGACGTACAGTCGTACGTACGTAGACGTA